TTTCCTGTGTCAAAGGGATCCGAGATCAATTTGTGTATGTAAGATAGGTAGAATGAGGTCAGGGTGTAAAAGCACTTTACTTCTGGATTGAAAAGTATGGACCCTGTTCAGTGTGAATTATGGATCCAGGATTCTTTACACACATGATAAAAGCAAAGCTTAATGAGTCTAAAAAATTAAGGTGTACATCAAAGTGTGTAGGAATAGTATACAAGTTTAAATCCCAGTCCTGCCACTTATCAGCTGGCTGATCTTAGGCAAGTGATTTCAACTCTCTGGACTTTAGGGCCCTCATCTGTGAAACGGTGACAACAATAGCACCTCCATCAGAGGCTGATAGTAAGGAAAATAAAGTTTACATATATGATGACTTAGAATTGTTCCTGGAATGGTTAGTTCCAACAGTTATTATCATTATTATTGTATACCTGGTTGCAGAAAGTAGACTGAAGATGGGGAAAGTAGAAATAGGGTTAACAGTTTCCAAGTTTCAGAGGAAGTCAGATTAAGTTGGGAAGAGAGTGGAGGCAGTCATTGTTGGAACTCGTCTCAGTACAAAAACACCTGATTTCATCCCTGTGTAAGCAGCTATCGTGTTTACCAAAGGCACTAATAATAACCAGCCCTTGCATCTGTTCTTCATATCACCCTGCCACCCCTCCAGCTCACAGAGTGCTGTCCCACGCATATCTCCTCTTCCTCCTCTTTTTTCCCTGCTCCAGGCATGGGGTCAGGTCAAGCACACACTGAACAGGTGGGTGGTAGGGTAAGCAGGAAAGTATGTGTCCCCGCTCCAGGGGTCAAAGGAAGTCTTGGCTCTGCCTGGGTCCCTGAGACTGCAGGCATTTCACTCACCTGCTGTGACCAACTGTGTCAGTAGAGGAGAATATCACGGGTCGGCATCAGCCCTCCCTGGCACTGACCTGCCCTGGAGGCTCACTTGTATCCTACCTCCCGCAGCTCTCACTCTTGAATTTATGGGAATTTAAAGGGATTGACAACTTCTCCAAAGTTGTTGGCTCTGGGAGGTTTAACTGGTGGCTTTATTAGTTTGAGGATAAGGCATGTAGCTCAAAAAATTTACCTCCTTCCTTCCCTCCATTGTACTAAGTAGAATGGGTTGACAAGCACCTCTTTTTTATTTATTTATTTATTTATTTATTTTTTATTATTATTATACTTTAAGTTCTAGGGTACATGTGCATAACATGCAGGTTTGTTACATATGTATACTTGTGCCATGTTGCTGAAGCACCTCTTTTAAAGTGGGAATATCTCTCGAAAGTAAATGTTAAACTTAGAAATAAGTTACCCTTTATTATGAATTACTATAACCAAGTAATTTCCTATCTGCCATCAACAACATTAAGGGAAGAGCAATAATGTTGGATGGGGGTGGATGCCAGAAAGAACAACAGGATGATTTTGTAGAGTAAGGAACTTACTGCACGCTTAGGGGGAGAGTGGGGGGTCCTGAATGGAGCCAAGAAGTCAAAGGGCTTTATGCAGAGGGGAGGAATGTTAAAGAGAAGGCAGCAGGAGGAGGGATACAGGTCACAAAGTGAAACAGAATGGTCCCAGTTGAAGTCTTCTTGACTATGGAACTAAGCCAATAGCGGATAGAAAAAACTACCTGAACGTAATTGCAAATAATCTCCTGGGATGCTTTAGCATCTATGGCATAAACAGACAATGCTTTGTTTGCTGAATAAACTCAAGGTATCTCATTGGAGACCCATAGCCCTCCCCAGTTGAGTGGAGCCAAACTTTATGCTTACCCTCCCTCCTTCACTTCCCTGAATGAGCTTTCCGCTCCAGTCAGAATATTCTACCTCCACCCTGTGGGCAGGAGTGCTCTACTCCTTCCTCTTTGCCCAGTTACACCTGCTTACTTCAAGCCCAGCAAAAGTTCTGTCTCCCATAGAGTCATTCCTAATGCTCGGCCACAGTGAACTTCCTTCCAATATTCTTGCTTATTTATTGGAACTGGGTGGTTTGTTTTGTTTTGTTTTGTTTGTTTTGTTTGTCATTTACTGCCTTACTCATTTACATTTATTTTTTGAAAGAGAGTGCTCTTTTACATTAAAAATTAATAATGCTCTGCTAATCGCAGAAAATTTGGAAAATACAAAAAGCCAGAAAGCAGAAATTAAATCACTCAGGAACCATTAAATTCTAGTATTCTTCCTTCAATCTATTTTTCTCTTTATGCATTTGTTCTTCACTTAGTTAATATTATGGACATATATAAATTGTATGTTCTGGTTTTTGTATAAATAACATTTATTTTTAATGATTATAAAAGATGGTCTTTTGAAAACACAGGAAAGTGGGGGGGGGGGGAAACCTCAAATCTCCCAGATTTCCAATATCTAGAAATAATTGCTTCATACATTTTGATACATTTCTTTGTAGTCTTTTTCTCATGTATTTTTACATACTCAAGGTCATATTGTCGAGATCATACTGCATGTATTTTAAATTCTACTTAACCCAAAAGTATTAACAGATCCCGATGCTATGAAGAAAGATCTAGTGAAAGGTAATATTTGTCCCTGGATGGTTTACTAAATTTTCCAAATTGAAAGACTCTGTGATGATTTAAAATAAGTTTTGAAGATGCAAAATATCATTATTCAAATTGCTCAGCCATAAAAGTGTCCATTATGTTGTTCTGTGTAATTCTGCTTTTATAAAGGGAAAAAAAGACTTTTTGTTAAGTATTTCTTCTGGCATAGTGTTCCAATCAAGTGAAAACTTAGCCATTGTCAGCAAGTCCTGGAAGAACAACAGTAGTTATTGTTTTAAACAGCCATCAAACAAGTCAAGACATTCCATCTGATTTGTTGGGTGGAGACTGGTTCAAGAAACATGTACCCTTATACCGAGAAAGGGAGAAAGGAATATGACTAGTTAATTAAAATGACACAAGGTCAAACTTTGTCCCGAGACCTCAGGATCTATCTGGAAATACATAATTCAAAGAGATTCCTGAAGTTGGGGTGCAAACTGTGTAAGAATAGATCTTATCCTTTTGAACTACAATTTTCCCTTTCTTGCTATACCAACTTTCATTAATCTTTGATTTGGTTAGAGTATCTTCAAATAATTTTTTTCCCAAAAAATCTACAGTAGAGGTTTCTCTTATGAGTAGTTGAGCATCCTTTCATTCAAAATATTTATTGAAGTCACTGTATGGTGACCTTATCTTTACTCCTTCAACCTGAGAATACTTAAAGGGTGCAATACTACTTTTAGGCAATATATACTCCAACTTAACATGGAATGTGGAAGCAAGAGGCCTCAAAATAACCCAATTATTTTCCTTTTTGAGAAAGGTCTCACTCTGTCACCCAGGCTGGAGTGCAGTGGCACAATCATGGTTCACTGCAGCCTCAAATTCACAGGCTTGGGTGATCCTCCCACCGCAGCCTTTTGAGTAGCTGGAACTACAGGCATGTGCCACCAAGCCCGGCTAATTTTTTGGTATTTTTTGTAGAGATGAGATTTTGCCATGGTCTCCAGACTGACTTCTAACTCCTGGGCTCAAGCAATCTGCCCGCCTTGGCCTCCCAAAGTGCTGAGATTATAGGCGTGAGCCACTGTGCCCAGCCCCAATCTTTTTATTTTATTAATATTATTTTTAATCCATAACAGTAAAAACAGAGACATAAAGAGCTTGTATTAGTCAAGGTTTTTCAGAGAAACAGACCCCCCCCGTCTATATATATATATATACACACACACACACATACACACATGCACACACACACGCGCACACACACTATATAGTATATATACACACTATATATACTGTATACTATATATGTACTATATATATAGAATATTAACAGATCCTGATGTTATGAAGAAAGATTTAGAGAAAAGTAATATTTGTCACTGGATGGTATACTAAATTTTCCCAATTTAAGGACTCTATGATCATTTAATGTATGTTTTGAAGATGCAAAATATCATTATTCAGAGAGAGAGAGAGAGCGCGCGATTGTTATGAAAGATTGGCTCCTGAGATAATGGAGGCTATGAAGTCCAATAATCTGCCATCTACAAACTGGAGGCCCAAGAAAGTCAGTGGTGTCATTTGTAATTTGAGTCAAAACCTGAAAGGATAAGGATCAGGTGAGCAAATAGTATAAATCTTGGTTCAAGTCTGAAGGCCTGAGAACCAGGAGCACCAACGTCCGAGAGCAGGAGAAGATGGATATCCCAGCTCGAGCAGAGAGCGAAGTTACCTTTCTGTCATACTTGGGTCCTCAATGGATGAGATGATGCCCACTTGTGTTGGTAAGGGAGATCTTCTTTATTCAGTCTAAAGATCCAAATGCCAGTCTTTTCTGGAAACACCCTCACAGATATGCCCAGAAATGTTCTACCAGCTATCTGGGCATCCCTAGCCCAGTCAAATGAACACACACAATTAACCATCCCAGATATATTCTGCACCAGCCTTTGTTGCTGTCTTCTGGGGCCAAGTTCAAGCTCCAAAGTGTCTCTCTAGACAGATTTTGTCTCATTCAAACTTAAGGAGGACTAGGGCTAGAGCCTGGTTCCTAACTGCCTCAAAAAGCTTTTTAGGCTTATGCCATGGTAAATGAATCCCTCTGTCAGGATTCAGGACTAATATTACTTTCAGTTGAGAGCCCTGGGTCACAATTTGTATGGATGTTTGCCTATTTGATTGGACTACACTTGTGGATTTCTTTGTCAGACTACATGGATTGGACTTTTTTTTTTTTTTGAGACAGGGTCTCATTCTGTTGCCCAGGCTGGAGTGCAGTAACACTGTCTTGGCTCACTACAGCCTCAACCTCCCGGACTCAAGCGATGCGCCCACCTCAGCCTCCAGATAAGCTGGGACTACAGGTGTATACGATAATGTCTGGCTAATTTTTGTATTTTTTTTTTGTAGAGATGGGGTCTTTTCATGTTGCCCAGGCTAGCCTTGAACTCCTGAACTCAAGCCATCTGCCCACCTTAGCCTTCTAAAGTGCCGACATTACAGGCGTGCGTCACTGAGCCTGACTGGACATTGTAAAATATCAGCCCAGTGAAGGGGCACAGATGCCAAATGAACACCCAGGTTTTTTTTGCTACTGCAAAAGCTATAACGTTACACTCCTAGGAGTTATCTGGTTTTACTGTGCTAGAAAATATTTTTCTGTTGAAGTAGAATTACATACCAGGAGAGGTTAAATGTAGGCAGAGATTAAATGCCCGTTATCTACCAATTCAACAGTGCAGTTTGGCTGGTCAAAAAAGCTGGAGGTAGGGACTGGGCTTGATGCCTGACTGTAGATAACAATGACTAAATAAAGAGGTGGTTGTATAATAGTTACTGTACTGATTGAAGCTACTATTTACACTTGGTATGTTACTCTAGGTCTGCTATTGCCTCTTCTTCCTGATTCTTTAAGAAGTAGATAAAGAGCACCTTGCTTTTACTTAATATGACATGTAGTACCTCTATTATTCTGTTGCAGGGATATTTGAGCTCACTAGAAATAGGGTCTTGATCCCTAGCACAATGAGAACAGCTCATTGAGATTCAAGTATTTTATTAAATTTATGACATCTTAATCATGGCTCCAACTAAGAAAGTGACTTTTACTGTCCTGAATAGCATACAGAAAATGCTATTCACAGTCAGCTGGACCTTGAGTCAGAAGACAGTCAACAGCCCCACTTCCCAAATGTCTTTCTTGAAGGGTACTTGGGCAGCAGTCCAAAGAGCTACTTTACAACAGCCAAAGACACGTTGCTAACCTTATAACTATAAGCTACAAAGAAAGAGCCCTAACGCCTGGTTTGCCTCTTTGGATACAGTGAATCACACATACACATTTTATTAAAGCACTTGTGATACTTCACTGGACAACCAGGCCGATTTAAACACCTCCTCCACCCCACCCTGTAGTAAAATGCCTTGGAAGCTGTCTAGGGCGCATTAACACAATCTCTGGCCTTAAGCCCCTTATCCCCTTCAGACCCTGAGAAGTTACATGTGTTCATGACTGATTGCCTTGGTTCATTCTGTCCTGCTGCAACAGAATACTTAAGACTGGGTAATTTATAAAGAAAGGAAATGTATTGGCTTACAGTTGTGGAGGTTGGAAAGTCCAAGATTGAGGGGCTAACATCTAGTGAGGGCTTTCTTACTGCATCATTACACAGAGGAAGGTGAGAGGGCAAGAGGGGTCAAGAAATCGAGAGAGAGAAGAGAACTGAACTCTTTCTTTTGTAACAAGCCTAGTCCTTTAATAACAAACTCACTTCCGTGATAACAGCATTAATCCATCCATGAGGGCAGAGCCCTCATGGCCTAATAACCCCTCATTAGGCTTCAACTCCTAAAAATATTGCATAAGGGTTAAGTTTCCAACACATGCTTTTTGGAAAACATATTTAAACCATAGCACTGATCTTATAGATTATTGAAATTTTTGGCAATGAGATTCTGCTAGTATTTTTTGATCTTTAAGTTTTTGCACTTTGAGACTTCCTTCCATTGCTAAATATTTCAACCCTGTTTCTGAGCTCTAACAGGGAGAGACTGTCTCGCTAAAGAAAAAATGTGACACTCTAACCTGATAACCCATCTCATTCTCTCTGAACCAAAGACCTTTGAGGTGGGAAAATGTCAAGAAAACTCCTATGAAATGGAAATGGTACATCCAATTGGAGGCCAAATCTGGCTCTCAAGTCCTGAGCAAAATTCATGAGCAAGTGGCTGTTCACATCTGGTGGCTTGTAGGAAGAATCCATTGAGTGTGTTAGGACCCTTGTGTCTCTATCCCTAACCACTTTCCTTCTTTTTTCATCCCCACCTTGACTCCAGTAGGTGGCTGGGAAGGTTAACCTGGGTTGGAAACAACTTCATGGACATAAATTTGGATGATTTCTGCCCTGTGAAGTCATTTCATGGTAATTGCCACAAGGTAGGTGACTGACATTTGTGTGTGTGTTGACTTTTCTATGCTTCCTGCATGTTCTTCTATGATGGGAACGTGGTTGTGGCATTAGGCCTATGTAGCAGGTTCCCTCTTCTCTATAGTAGGTCCTCCTTGATCTGTGAAGGTAGCCTGGTGGCCTTTGGTGGCAGAATGATGACTTCCTCTCTGCACATAGCTTTTGCTGAGGGAAAAGGTGGGATGGTCTGGATCAACCCAGAGTTGTATTGGGTGTGGGTGGAGTTGAAGGTATGAATTACCTTTCTTCCATTCCATTCCAGATATAGGTAGAGAATAAAGAACAGCTTTCTTTGGGTGACTCAGGCAATGGCCTGTTATATGAACTTAGAGTCACCCTTAACTTGAACTGGAGGGGTTTTATTAATATTCTGCTCTCTTAGACAATGGTACAGGGGTAGCTGTCATCTAGCAATGGTACAACTACTTCCCTTGGTTCCATACAACCATATTCCTATCTTCTGCCCAGATGATGCCACTGGCAACTTGATACAGAAAGTCACCTTAAACCAGACTCAGACTGGCACCATGTGACCCCAGGACTGATTTTTCTGCGAGGTAAGCAGGCCCTCCCTTGCTTTTTCCTTGTACCTAAAACTGCCTGTTCCCTGGGAGTTATACATGACCTTTGACAATGACCCAAGCCCTGATAGCAGCAGCAACATCTTAGCCTCTAGTGCCAATGGCAACGATTCCCTGAGGAAGACAAGGACGTGGTTTTAACCACTTTACCCAAGTTTTCCTCCCAAAGGCATGATACATCTTCCAGTCACCCAGGGGAGACATTGCCATTAAGACAGTTAAGCCTCTTAATTTTAAGAGACTAGCTTTGGCTCCAGAGTTTAGTTTTGTTACATGAACACTAGCTGTGAATTATTTGCTGATTAGCCAGTGTGTGTATATACAGTGGTCACCCCTTCCACTGCTTCTAGATTCATATATTTGGTGCAAAGTCTGGCCTTATTTGTAGTACTGTAGGGCCAGTCAAATGGTTGCAAATCCCCTCAAGCTGATCCTTGGGATTTTCTCCCTCCCGGATTGACCTGGGATCCTTGACTAAACACTCTGGGAGGCCCGGCAGGTCTTCACAAAGAACTTTTACTTGTGTTTTCCCTGTTTATGAAACTGTCTCATTTGATGATGCCAAGAAATGCTGAAATCTCCACTGAAAATTTCATGTTTCTGCCCCAAATGGGCAGGCTTATGTTTCACTGGTCTCCAGGGTCACTGGGTGGATTGTTGGAGAGAGGCAAGCAGGGCTGTTTGTTGAATGACCCCAAGAGCTCAGGCTGACTGATAGTGGGAAGACTGGGATGCTAACTCAGTTGCCCTTGGAACTGGGTGACCCTTCTTCTATCAGCCTGTATCTAGCTTCTCACAAGGTTGCCAGGCACTGAGTGCCTGAATTTGCAGATAATTCCCTGCAGGGGTGCCTGTGCATTCAAACTGCTTGGTGCTTATGCTCCAATAGTTTATTCTTTACCTTCAAGGTTGTTCTCGTATTTGCATTATAAGAAAATGAAGAAGCAGAGAGGCAGAGTCCCTCCTCAGGGCCATAAATGTGCCATGTGACCCGCAATATTGCCTCTCTGCATGGGATGATCAGAGAATGTGTGGGGAGGGGCAGGCTGATGCCCTTTCTGGCTGGTCATGTAAGTGTCCCCCAAGAACCCCTGTTTCATTGCCCACACCACAGGATACTCAGTATTTGACTTTGTCCACCTTGCCACAATATCCTTTCCTTTATTTCACACTACCTTTATAGGCCTGATTTTTTCCCCTTCTACCCATCTTTAAACATTCTCTGCTTAAATCCCAGAATTTAGCAGAGATGATTTTTTTTTTAAAATAGGGTTTTGCTCTGTTGCCCAGGCTGGAGTGCAGTGGTGTGATCTTGGCTCACTGCAACCTCTGCCTTCTGGGTTCAATCGATTCTCATGTCTCAGTCTCCTGAGTAGCGGGGACTACAGATGTGTGTCACCACATCTGGCTTGCTTGCTTATTTATTTATTTATTGTAGAGATGGGGTTTTACCATGTCGGCCAGGCTGGTCAACTCCTGACTTCAAGTGATCCACCTGCCTCGGCCTCCCAAAGTGCTGGGATTACAGGTATGAGCCACTGCCCCTAGCCCATGTATTTTTTTATGTATATTTTTTCTGTCCTGAGGAGAGATCCCCTACCTTCACTGTCTGGTTCTCTAATGGAGTTCATGAAATATGTAATACTACTGCCTTGACTCCTGATTCCTCCTGATCATCGCACAGCTTGAATGTCGTGCCAGTGTTGGTCTTCTCTACTTTTTCTGCTGTTTGTTTGTTCTTTTGGAATTGCAATCTCAAGTGCATTTACAGACAGTGCTGCAGTGGGGGAAATGTGAATGGCACTCCCATCAACACTAAAGGCAATGTGCACCCAGGAGATACAGCTGCCTAGTTCCCATGGGGTTCCTGACCCTGTCTCTCTGGTTATTTGAGCAGAGGAGAAACATCTTTCAGGTGGATTGGCTTTGCTGTTTTATGCTGTAAAGTATAAGAAGACAAATAAGTACTTTTCTAAATATAGCTTCACTGCTATTTTCTGCGACTGGAGAATCACATTCTGGAAATTTTTGGTTTTCCTTGTGTTACAAGTTTCCACCTTTTTCTGCATCTTCATAGGCATTTTAACCGGAAGTTCAAAGAGACTTTCTCAGGGGCTGCCATTCTGACAGCTGTGAAAAAGGAGATGTCCCATTTCCAGCTCTTCAAGTGCACATGTTTGATTTGCCAGGTTACACTGGAAACTATTCAAGGGAGGGGACCATTGCTTCATTGAATCTTTTGCACGGAGTAGGTGTGTAATATACATTGAGTGATTAAGTAATTGGCTATTTATTGGTCATTTTTGGTGATGTGTTATATTTTTCTAGAAGCTTGTCTAGTAAGTCTGTAGCCTAGGTGCAGTGAAGAAAATGTCAAGGCAGACTTTAGGACTAAGAGCGATCCCCTCAGTCCACCCTTCAGTCTTCAGAAAAAGTTTTACTATAATTAGCTGAACAGTAAAAAAATTTCCTAGTGAAATCTGGCTTTTCCTATTTGTTTCCTATATAAATCTTGACTCAAACATCACATTATTCTAAGTTCCAGAGCAATGTCCTATTCCCCAGTCCCTGAAAGTATTCATATAATAAATTCCCCTAACTATTCAACTCTACAACTCAGAAAAATCTTGTTCCAAAAGCACATGGAATATCTGTGCTCCGGAGTGAAAGAATTATGGCATGTCCATATTAATTCACTGTGACTCAATTGAATATCATGTAGGATTATGTTCTGTTTAGGCAGCTCATTTAAACTTGTTCAACTTTTAGAGAGCTGACTTAACTTCTGTTCCTCAGTCAGGAGTAGTTCTAAGTTCTATTTCAATGCTGGTTATTCCAGAGCTGTCAGAAAATTAGACGTTTTATGGTCTAAAAATAAATATAATAAGTTTCCTTCTTCAAAAATGGCAGAACAGATTTTATACAACTGTTCCACCAAATTTACTGCATGACACTGGGTTTGGAAAGTCTCAGCAACCAGAATAAAACCATGGAAACTTTGGGGTTGGAAAACAAGGGCAAGAATGGAAAGTACTTCATTTCCTTCCTTGTGCGAAGAAAGATAACATTAGCTCGGTGTGCTGGCCAAGAGGTGTGCAAATGTATAGAGTGTTTCTGGAATCCACATTGGACCACCACCACCACCACCACTACCACCACCACCATAAACAACAAAACCCCAAAACAAAAACAAAAAAACCCCACAACCCTCAGGAATGCAAAGACAATTTGTTTGCAAAGTTTTCCTTGGCGTTTCCCCAAATTTATCAAGAATGACCTCTATTAGCAGCCAGACTCTATTACTTATTATCACCATTTAAATCATTAGACTGGTGTTTCCTAAAGGACATTCCAGGAATTACTAGCTCTTAAAGATAGGTATTGCTGGCCAGGCACAGTGGCTCACGCCTGTAATCCCAACACTTTGGGAGGTCACGGCGGGCAGATCATTTGAAGCCAGGAGATGGAGAGCAGCCGAACTAATATGGCAAAACCGTGTCTCTACTAAAATTACAAAAAGTAGCTGGGCATGGTCGCATGCGCCTGTAGTCCCAGCTACTTGGGAGGCTGAGGCGGGAAAAATCACTTGAACCTGGGAGGCGGAGGTTGCAGTAAGCTGAGATTGCGCCACTGCACTCCAGCCTGGGCAATAGAGCAAGACTCTGTCACACACTCATGCAAAAAAGATAGATATTATTTAAAGAAATGCTTTCAAGGTAAAAGAAATTCAAGAAATACTGTCTTAAACATGACTTTACAGGTTTATTGATTTCAGGACCTCCCAATGTGCTGCTATGCAATGCAAATATCTAAGAGTAAGATATGGAATGTAGTCTGGGGACTCCTTTTTCCAGCAACACAGTGAACCAGCATCCTGAAAAGAAAATTATCTTCACAAAACACCTCAGAAACTCTGGACAAAATACAGAATTGTATATACGTGCTTGAGCAAAAGTAGAGGAATCTTCATGGGAAAAAACAAAGAAGAAAAAAACTGGACCAGTAAGCTAGTTATGTGTCTGCCTGTCTAGTGGCAGGCAGGTTAAATAGGTCTAATCTCTCTGATTTGCAAGCCCACATTTTTCAAGAAGAGGGTTATAATACTAAACTATATATGTGTAGTGCTTTTTAAATTTAGTGCTTATCACTAACATTAGGAAAGTGGCAATCGGTACTTGACTTAACCTGGAATGCAGATGTCCTGCCCCCAGTCCCTCACACGATGTTATTTATGTATGCAAAACATACAGAAATGTAAGTGGCACAGGAGAAGAATAAATATCTACTGGTTTTGCCAGGCCAGCATTTGTTTTTTTCTTCCTTCTGTTAAAACCTCCCGGTTTTGCTCTGGGGAGCTGTCCTTTTGAATATAGTGTTGTTGGAATTGTCAATCATAGTGCTGAGGGGCAGTCATGGGAGCCAAGTAGAGCCTCTTACCATGGGTTCGAATCTTGGGAGCAGGATCTCAAAGTGGGGTAAGGCAACATCTTTAAGCTGTTGCATCCTTGATTCTTATGGACACCTTGGTTCTTATCTTTTCTGAGGCTACTGCATTTCATTGAATTCTGTGATCCAATCCATATGCTTTCATTAGTTTTATTTCCTCAACTTAGCCAGAGTTTGTTTCTGTTGCTTGCAATCAAAGATCTCTAACAGGTTAAAGTTATATCTATACAAATGTAGATGATGATTATTATTATACATTCGTGTGAACCACTGAATTTTTTCCTATTTGTCCTACATTTTGCAGAATGGTAGTATGTGAAAAACTTCTCCCAGGGTCAGGATTAGGGAGAGTCAGGGTGGTGTCTAGGGTGCAAAACTGAAGGAGGTGTGTACTCTCGGATTCTTGCAAGAGTGGAAGAGGTACTTAGGGGCAGTTATTTCTTAAGGGTCCGAGAGAAGCACTTACCTCTGCATTAAAGTGAGCCAACCCTACAATGTACGCATCATAAGCAAATAAAAGGTTTGGAAAT